AAAAAACCAACTTTCATGGAGAAAAATGATAGAATTAAGAGGGCAATACAAACAAAAGAAAGCCCAGCCAGAAAACAAAAACAAAAACAAACTACAAATATGCCATTGGGCAACGATTCTACCAGTACGCATACAACTTCTATTCAACCTTTTTTTCTGCTAATATCATTTTCAACTAAAACCTGTCCGTGGATACACAATGACATTCTCGGCTCTCGCTGTGAGTCTAAAGCAAGATGAAGTTTTCTCATGTTAAAGACTTTTTGATATACTACAAGTTGCAGGCATGAAAGAGAACTAGCCAGCTTATATGTAAGAATAAAAATACATAATAAGATATATTTTTTTCTTATACTAGTCTCAATACCTTCCAGTCCGTAGCATCAAATGCTTTAGGAATCCTTTGTGAGAATGCACATCATAAGGAGACAAACCTAATTGTGGATCTCTCCAACATTCTTGTATGGATTCAAGAACCTATTTCAGAAAAGCAAGTCCATGAGGACGAAGTAGAGCAATTTCCACATGCCAATTTAATGTGCTACGCTACCATTAGAACACAATTTGCAGCAGTTCAGACATTCATACAAACCGAAAATAAAAGGTTCAAAATCATGCAAAAATCAACAAAGGAAGTGAACTCGATGTTGCAGAAGTTTAAGCTAATTTAGCTAAAGAACTTTCCATCTGAAAAACAGTGTGGCTGCTTCTCAACTCAAAAATCACTTGAATAATTTGCATTGTGATGTATCTTACCCAAAAAAAAATTTGCATTGTGATGTATAGCAACAGATCTTCATTTAAAACTAGATTTATCATACGTCCACATTTCACCGCCTTCATTTATAATGTTGGCAGAGTCATGGAGAGAAGAAAGCCAGCGGCTATTGCTTCTGACTTTTGACTCTGTAAGGAAGCACAATCACTTACTCCTCTCCATCAACTGCTTTCTGCCCCTTTATAAGTGTTGGAAAATTAAAATCCTAGAAATCGTTTGACCAGTTAAATTCTATTAGCACATGCTTAGAAGACAGTATAAAATCTTTCACATCCTTGCAAGAGGATATCAAAACCATTACAAGAATTACTTTGAAATTTGCTTGCACCCATAAAGTGATTCCTTAAGAATTCTACCTCTGACAAGAATTTTTTGGTCATGAGAAACAGAGAAAGATATGTTCAATAAGAACAGAGGTATTTTGTAAACAAATATTATGCACCATGAGAACACTGAAATCAAATAATATCTACATACAGTTAGAGAATCGATGTGTTCATTCATTTTGCAAAATGTGAAATGTGTTTATTAATAAATCCCACAACCAATGTATAGATTGTCCCATGTACTTCAAATGTCGAATACCTGATTGGCAGGTCCACTTTGCAATAAACATTTGTTGACGTTTAGAACCTTATCAAAAAAGCCAGGAGCATGCAGTCCCAGAGCATTGATCTCATCTCCGTACTGTTTTTCTATCAATGCATCCCTTGGTAGCCATCTTTTAGAACCAAATGAGAATTCCATCTGCAGGAATATGGAAATACAACCAAAGTTCCATTTTCATTCCTTTTTTTTTTCCTTACTTTTTTTACTGAACATTGGCATGCTGTTCTATACAAATAGATCAATATGGTATTACTTAACTTCAGGTTGAAGATCTGAATTTTCAGAATTGGAGTAAAAGATAATGGTATGCCCTTGTTTTGCCTAGTAAGGAACTGGGGTAAAGATTTAAATGGCTAAAGTTGCTCATACTTGGCTACTAATAATATTTGGTACATCATTCTGTGACAAAGTGCACACATCTTAGCTTCTGATTTTAATGGCAATATCCGAATGTGTTTGTGTAGAAAACTATAAAGCTCTCAGAAGGTTGAGAAGTGATCTAATCCCTATTTAAACAGGCTCAACGTTAAATATATACACAAATGAATAACAAAATCCCCCCAAGATATAATCAGAATGAAGGCAAGCAACCAAATTTAACACAGCTTGCTTACTAACCTTATTCCTGTAGTGAAACTGGATATCGCAAGGAACAATATGCTTGAGAACATTATGGGATTCAAGTTCTTTCTGATAAAATTTTCCAACATGAGTCAACAACTCGTGAACTTGCTGTTCCTTAGATCTAACCTGAGCTTCATAAGATAGATTTTGTGTTTTACATCCTCCACAGTAAGAAGCATACTCACAAGGGGCATCAACCAAGTCCCAATGAGGAGATAGTGTCTCTAGCTTAGTCACCTGAAGATACAACAACAAATGAGAAAAACCAGTACTAATAAAGACATGTCGAAGCTAATGCATTGCTGTTTTGCAACCTCCATCACATTCATGATGAAACACAGAGTCTGCAAAGGATATACGGGACAGCCCTATTTTGGTGTTCTTCATTCCCTTTATTTTCTTACTACTTCTAGTATTAGTTGGTTATCGATCTTGATAGATGAAATCCAATTTCAAACTTTTTCCCAAGATAAAGAAATAGCAGAACTTAAACAGGATTACACTCAAGCAGGTTCTAGTGTACCAGAGAACTATTATTAAAAACTCGCACTTAGCATCCAGGGTTTGTACAAGGCATCAACCCAAGAGCAAGATGACTGTGGCACCAGCATGGACGTCRTTTTTGACCCAGACAAAGTGTAAGAATGAATGCTAATTTAGCATTTGATCAATGGTGTATCAAAATTAGCTTCTTTTTAATTATATTATCATTATTTCTTACGGAAAATCCGTCTGACCCTAATGCCAAGGGAAATTTATATGATTTTTTAAATATGTACTACGAACAACCCATGGTGACTAAAATTACATCATTTTTGCCAYCCCGAAAATGCATTTACATATTTACATCCAGGAGTCCATTTTTCTGAAACTTGGTTGCACGATTTAAATTCAAGCAGAGAAGCGATAAGCCATTACATAAATTAATCTCCCATTCCCTTGCCAATACCCAAAAGGAGAAAGATGAAACTGACCTCGGCATAGTTTCCCTTCATTCGAGTAACTCGCCCGAAAAAACGCTCGCCGGGGAGGGCTCGGTCACACATGACAACAAACCCAGTGTCAGCCACTTTGCACAGACCCTTTCCCTTAAAGGCCAGCGATTCACAGACCAATTCCAGGGTTTGGCCTCGTTTGGGAAAATACGACTGGGATTTTCTGCTGAGACCATTGGGATTCGAGGGGCCATTCTGCTCGGCTCGCTCGGAATCTCCCTGTGGAAGAGTGGGCGAAAGAGAGGCAGCAACAGAAGTTGTGCTGCGGAGCTTGTGAAAGTGGAAGTTGAACTGAAACGAGCACCTCGCGGTGGAGAGGTGTCTGAATCCATGGCTCGGAATGGACGCCATTCTCCGACAGCACGGAGTTGGCCTCGAGCTCGACGGCGCCGTCGGTGAGCTTCAAAGTTGCCGAGGGAGGCTCGACCGTTGGTCTGTATCCTTGCTCTACGGCCTTGGAGCTAGACGAATTTCTTGTATAATTGTGTTATTTTCCTTAATTAATAATTACAATGTTTATTTTTTTTTTCACTTCAATCACAATGTGAGAGTATTGAATCATATTTAGGCTGGTGATTACAATAATATTCTTTTTAAACCTTCAAACTTTTTTTATGAGGATGATAACATTAAACAAAAAGAAGGACAAACTCATGACAAATAATTGAACAATTTTTCGCCCGAACAATTTTTTCTTTTTTAGTACGACAACTAGGTGTTGACGATTTAAACTAACGATCTTTTGATGTACCAATTACCACTAAGTAGGTTGGTGTGGACAACAAATTAAACTTTCAAATTATATAAATTAGTCATTTATCTAGTAATTATTGATCTTTTGATGTAGTGGTGGATAACAAATTAAACTTTCAATCTATATAAATTAGTCAGTAATTATTATAATAAGATAACTTTTTTTTGTTGAATGTCTCAAAATATTGTGCACACACGAGACATGCAGAACTTTTTAAATTAAAGCTTTTTTTTTAAGTACAAAGTAGAAATTTGATTCCATGCTATACTAAAAAATATATGGTTTAATGGGTTGAACTATTATCATATTAATACGTAACAACTTAGTTCATATAATTTAAAGTTTATAACGACGTAGTTCATGTCGTTAAAAAATTTTGTTAATATTATACATGATTTTTTATGTATGCACGTCGAGAGACCAAATATATTTGTAAATTACCGATAGAATCATAATATAATAAAAATCGATATTTAACTTTGAAGATATTTTGCACGGTATGAATTAAATTGTTACAAAATTGGAACCATAAATATTAAATTGTAATATATTAAAGTCTAGGACAAAATTGAACCATAAATACTTAATTGCAATATATTCAAGTTTATGAACGGTTATTATTAATTCAAAAGTACCATAACTAAATTGTTATGAATTAAAGTTTATAACATAGGTTGGTAATTCAACCAAGATACATCGATCTTTTAAACATAAATATCACTACACCAACTACATATTTGATTTTCATCTTTAAAATAATTCTTCAAAACGAATCATTAGACTCAATTACTTTATAAAATATAATAAAGAGACCACAATTACACTTAGAATTTAGATATAATCCAAATGATTACATAAATTATAGCCACAATACCAAACCATCAAGAAATTTATCATAACTTTTTTTTCTCGAGTAAGACCATGAAGCAAGTTTATATCATTCGATTGTCAATGTTAGTGTGACCTCATTTATTTGTTTAATCTAAACGTACAATGAATAAATACATAAAAGAAATTAGACCAAATCCAAAGGGGCTCGAGGATTTTTACACGTGTAAGGAAAAAAAACAGTATTTAATTAAAACGCTCAAATCAAGAGAACAGACAAATATTCACCTGCAATTTTATTTATTTGCTCACATATTTAATAATCGATCAAACTTTACTTTGAAGTTTCGAGCGCCTCGTTCTCGTACGGCCTTCTTCTTTCTCCATCGTGGGTTTAAGTTTCCAACCACCGCTGCGCTACCACTGTGAAGACTCGTAAATCGAACTCTGGATTGCAGTCTGGTTTTAAATGGTATGTGAATCGATCTGGGCCATTTCTCGAATCTCGATCGTATGGAGCTTTAATTGGTGGAAGGTAGCCCATTCGCCACCGCCCCACATGGTAATACACTCTCTATTCCTTTATTTTTCTTTTTATTTTTCTGTTGAATGCCATAGGGTTTCATGTTATTTGTTGTTTCTATTTGCTGCAAGAAGATTCAAGGGCTGTGGTGTTTGGCATTTTGATCCAATGGGGAAGGTTTCTAGTTTTGGGAAAGAAATGTCTTGTTTTGGAATTACCCACTTGGTAAATAACTATATTTCTTTGCATTTTGGGAGATCTTGCTATTTAGGTCAATAACGATTTCGTTTTTGGTTTTCTATTTTCAAGGCTGCCTTACTCACGATTGGTTACAAAAAACGAAAGCAAGCTTTTAAGAACTATTTTTGTATAGTTTTCAAAATTTGGCTTAGATCTCAGTAGTAGTTATAAATTTGTAACTCTTAAAAATATAAAACAAAAGACAAAATAGTTATCCAACGAGGCAAATGGTAGAATAGTGGTTGGAATCCCATTTTGAGGACACACTATTTCAACTATAACATGGGCTCTGTTTTTGAGATTTGGTTCTGATTGTTAAATACGTGCTTTTAGATTCCACTTCCTTGGATGTGAAATACCCGGAAGTGAATTGGGTTGGAAATTGAGGCAAAGATGCAGACAAGAGTGGTGGGAATTGAGGAAGGCAAGGCCTCTGCTACTGCTACCAGCACAAGAGCAAACAACCCAATTAAGGCCTTTCCTTTCAGGTTTCTTCAGCTCTTCTTTCTGTTTTTGCTCTTTGTCCTCGGAATATCACTTGTTAGTTTGCACACTGTCAAGTACTTTGGCGGTCCAAATGTGACACCTGTAGCGCAGTCCATAATTCGACCTTGTCCTGAAGAGCCAGCTAGTATAGAAAGATGGATCAAACCTCCATCAAGTCTTCTGCACGCCATGGACGACACCGAGCTTCTCTGGCGGGCTTCTTTCGTTCCCCGTGTGAAGAAGTATCCGTTCAAGAGAGTTCGCAAAGTTGCTTTCATGTTCTTGACCAAGGGACCCCTGCCCATGGCTCCTCTTTGGGAGAGGTTCTTTAAGGGACACGAGAGACTCTATTCTATATATGTTCACTCTATGCCATATTATGTTGCCGATTTTCCACCTTCATCGGTATTTTTTGGACGACAGATACCCAGTCAGGTAATACATGTTGTTGTTGCACATTACTGACATTCTGCTTTAATCATAATAACTGCACAGTTTTGTTTTGCTTTTCTTATGCAAGTATTTGTTCTGCACATCTTCTTTGATCAACCAAAGTAAACCTAGCGATCCTTCAGACGTGTGAACTGGGCAATGCGTCCATAATGACATTGACTAGAATGGATATCTCGTATCTGAAAACTAGTTGTTCACCCTGTCAATCCTGCAATAGAAAAGTAAAAGGGATGCTTGTGACTGTTTTAAAATATTTTACGCTATGTAATCTAGTACTTATGCATGAAAATAATCGATTCGGTTGTTGTGGTTGGACTCTATTAGATGTTATTCCTTGTCTAAAATATATCATCACTTGGTAGACTGATGGATTTATGACTTCTAACTCAACTTTAGCTTATCGAATCATTAGTGCAAGAAAGTGGACATTTAAATCTTTGTGATTGATGATGCTTCTTGTGAAGTTTTATTTCTATCATTCATGACTACTTTTTTTAATATATCGAGTTCTGTCTCGGCTAGTCTGTCTTCAGATTTTTTGTTTGATTTCTATTAACATTCCCACTTCAATTTGTTGGGGCACTCTTTGCTTACATTGTGAAGCTTCTGTATGTTTTTATATCAACTGATTTATCCAGCTGCAGTGATCTGGTTTCAATCTGGAAGTACAATTATTGTTCCAAATGCCTTCTCATAGAAAATGACCATTCATTTTATGTGATGATTTCGTAGATGGCAGAGTGGGGAAGGATAAGTATGTGTGATGCCGAGAGGAGACTGCTCGCCAATGCATTACTTGATTTTGCGAATGAATGGTTCATTCTTCTTTCTGAATCTTGTATTCCTCTTCACAACTTCAGCGTCATATATCACTACATATCCCGATCCCGATACAGTTTCATGGGTTCGTTTGATGAACCAGGACCCATTGGTAGGGGACGCTATAACGAGAGTATGGCACCAGAGATTAACCTCACCAATTGGCGGAAGGGACCTCAGTGGTTTGAAGTCAATAGAGAACTTGCAGTGAAGATAGTTGAAGATACAGTTTACTACCCAAAATTTAAAAAGTTCTGCAACCCACCCTGTTATGTTGATGAACATTACTTCCAGACTATGTTAAGCATCAAAACGCCTCACCTCCTAGCAAACAGGAGTCTTACAGCTGTTGACTGGTCGAGGGGCGGTGCTCATCCTGCAACATTTGGAGAGGCGGATATCGAGGGGGAATTCTTCAGGAGACTTTTTAAAGACGGGTCTTGCCTTTACAATGACCAGCCATCAACACTCTGTTACCTTTTTGCTAGGAAGTTCGCTCCAAATGCGTTGCATCGTTTGTTGAATATATCGTCCGAAGTTATGGGATTTTGATAAAAGCTTGGAAGAACTGCAAATGATAACGACTAAGTAGATACAATCTGCTTCATTTTTTCACTAGGTTTTTACACGAATTTTGAAACATTAGGGTTACACATGTAGATGTATAAAAAAAAAATGTATACGTTTCTCAAACTTGGAGCTCCAGGATGATGGGCATTTTTTGTTAGTTCTCTAGTCAAACAATTCAATGTAATGTCTCTCCAATGACATATCTGTCTCGGTATAATAAAATTGCAGCTCCTGGTACCATTGATGGATGTTATTATGGCGATAATTCTCGTTAGTTTGCTCTTGCATCTTTTGATGTATGAATTTGTTAGGATTTTGGAGATCCCGTTGAAGGTCAATTTAAAGAGTCTAATTTAAAGAGTTTTGAGAGTATAAGATGATGAGCTCTCGAATGTACATTTGCTCAGCGTTATATTTCAGTTGTTATAGCATTATATCTTCRACTAAAAGATTGGAGGTTTGAACTCCACACACATATTGTGATCATTTTAGTTTAGTGACTAACATCATTATTAGATTTGAACTGAGATTTAGCATATTAACAAAGATAAATCTCATATTAACAAAGATATCAAGACGCAACAGCTGCAGCCATCTCTATGTTTGTATTCTAAAGCCATGATCACTATATTATGAAGCAAAGTGTGTCACGTATGCCGGTTCGTTAGCTCAGTTAAAGTACGAGCCTTAAGAACCATCGATAACTTTCCGAAACTAGATCAGCTAGCTATGTTATCATGTCGATTATTCTGGCTCTCTCAGACATTATTTTTCTGTTTAAATTGTATCCAACAAGAGATATCTATGGATTCTGTAGTATCTCTCAACCATGCATCCAATGCGGCCACAGTAAAAGCAAATCATTCTCCCTTACCTCTGTTGCTGGCCATCATATTTTGAGAATTAGCAATTAGCATAAATTTCGACAGAGATGGTCCTGCGATCAGCTCCACTGATCACCATGTATCCAACATAGCCACAGAATTCAGTTTTGTCTAGAGCTCTTGAGATACAAGAGCAGCAGCTTTGTTAATGGAAGGCATTGGATCTATCAATACCAACTGACCTCTATAACTTGAGCAAGGAAGTCATGCAAGAAATTTAGAATTCAATGCCAGAGAAACTAACAGCAATCCTAGGCAGTTTTATCAGTGGATGTGAAACAGATAGAAGCGTCATCTATAGCTGAAATATTTTACGACAATGTAGAAGATGAACTCATCTGCAATTGCAAAGGAATCTCTGGTGGGCAATGCCACAAGCATTACAACAATTAATATAACCTCTAGCAATCGGAAGGAGATCGGAAAAAGGTGTGCAGTTGAAAGCTTACTGCTCAGATACCACATTCAATTCATATTTGTGTTACTTCATCTACCGCAAACCCAATCCAATAAGCAAGCACATAAGCTAAACAAGACGATTCTCTCTCTATTTCGGTATTAAAATAGACAATCAGGGCTAAAGCACATACATATATAGAAAGGAGCAAAAGATAGATGAGCTAGTTAGATAATAATCTCCATTTTCCAGTATCTGCTAGGGAAGTCCTGGATATATGACGAGTTTTCTATTCACTTCACATAAATTCACTAGAGGCAGAGCTGTGTACTTTAAATAAGATTTGAGTAGAAGCACAATTAAGCAGATTATAAACTGAACAAAACACATAATTGCAACCAACTAATTACAAATGGTTAAGCATTTGTAAGAGAAACAATAACACTATATGGCAACTACGTAATTCAAGGCAGAAAACCTTGATACATAACAATTAACAAATTAACACATCAAGTCGGATATCTTCAAATTCGACTATTTCTAATGTAATGTGTGAGCAATATTGAGCACGGGGAAGAGGCTGAAACATGAACAAGGTCTCACTCAACAAGGGCAAGAAAATAAACATCAAAAACAAACATTTTGCATCATATCAAGTTGGTTAGCCGATTAACTCAAGCTTCAAGCAACATTTCTTGGATATTGGCAGAAGAATAAAATACAACCATGGAATCCCACAGTTACAGGTGGTGCATATATGCATACCCGTCATCGGGTTTTTAAGGGAAAAAATTATATTCAACGCCATGTTCAAGTCCTCGAAAACATACAGCAAATTCGCAGATAAGAAATTACCATTGAAAGCGAATTCACTGGAATATAGACATAAAATCAACATCTTTTGAATATTCATAGCAAGCCCAATAACCCATAACTTCTAAATGCGTAGATTTCATATACATCACACAGTAATAAGATGTTATTCTCACGCCATTCTGTTAACCTCTGGCCTTAAGCTCTGCAAGGCGCCTCGTCAGGTCGTCCTCGTCGACTTTCTCAGTTTCTCTGGTCGGCACTGCATGTGAGGCCGGCTGCGGGAGCCCGACGGAGACTTCCAGACCGTAATCATCCGCCACCTGCTGCATCAAGCTGTTGACCTCGCCCTCCGGAGTCGAGAGCGATGTCGAACCTGCCATTGCATTTTCCATGAACTCGGCCTGAACCTCCATATTCACAAACTGCTTCTCAAACTGGTCCATAGTCTCCGACATCTTCTGCAAATTCCCAGTAGCCAAAGAAGATTCCAAGGACTTGACGATCGACGCCATGGACTTGTTAATTGTGGTCATCTTGGCCTGTGTGTCGAGGCGAGCCACAACAGCATCAAGCCTCGAAGAAAGGCGGAGATAGTTCATCTGTTCCGTTCGTTTGCGGATCGCGTTCTCGGCGTAAATTCGGGCTCCGTCAACGTTCCCCTTCTCCATAGCCTTCTTGATCTTGAGCTTCTCGGCTTTCTCTTCCTTCTCGCACTTCCTGGCTTGGCGCTGCAGCGACTTCGAAGTGAATTTCAATTCCATAATTTGATTCAACAATTTCTCGGTGTTCCCCATAATCGGAATATCCCCAGAATGCGGTGGAGTTTGATCAAAAAGAAAAAGAAAAAACTGATGAATCGCTAGGGCTGGAAAAAGTACTGATTTGCGAATTTGAAGTCTCAAGGGAACGATGAAACTTCTACGAACTCGGTTGAAGGAGAATCGTTTGACTTGGTGAGGAAGGAATTGGACGACGCGGATTTGTCGATCAAAAAATCAAAATGCGGGGTCCACAATTTTTACCCCTCCCTCCAATTTTAACTATTGGGTCCCCCTCTTTTGGAAAACTACAAAAGTCGCTTTCAAACTTTTAAATAAATTTTCATATAAATTTTTTTTTACATAAAAAAAATCAACTCTCAAATCTTAAATCATTAAAATACGTTGAGTTATATTTGAAATTTTTAACTCAGTTACYGTGGATTCGAATCTTCAATTTTATAAAATAATAATAATAGTGCAATCGTAAAACTTCTATAGTTGGATGTGATATTTACAATCTTCCATAAAAATAAGCAATAAATCTCAATAAAATAAACATAATAATAAAACCAAAACTAAACCAAACTTAATCTTGAGTAATGAATATTAATTACTCAAATAGAGGGTAATATTTATGTATTATTTGTTTTTTAGTTCATCAATAATAGGTGGAAAGGAAAAAAAAAG